AGTAAACTCGAAATGGATAAAAGACCTGAATGTAAGTCATGAAACCATAAAACTCTGAGAAGAAAACATAGGCAAAAATCTCTTCAATATAAACATGACCAATTCTTTTCCTGAACACATCTCCTTGGGTAAGGGAAACAAAAGCAAGAATAAACAAATGGGACTCCATCAAACTAAAAAGCTTCTGTACAGCAAAGGATACCATCAGTACAACAAAAAGGCATCCTATAGTATGGGAGAATATATTCATAAATGACATATCCTATAAGGGGTTAACTTCCAAAATATATAAAGAACAGACATGCTTCAATACTCAAAAAGCAAATAACCTGTTTAAAAATGGGCAGAGGATCTGAACAGACACTTCTCCAAAGAAGAAATTCAGTTGGCCAACCAGCACATGAAAAGATGCTCCACATGGCTAATTATCAGGTAAATGCAAATTAAAACCACAATGAGATATCACCTCACACCAGTTTGGATGGCCAACATCCAAACAACAAGGAACAACAAATGCTGGCAAGGGTGTGGAGAAAGGGGAACCTTCCTACACTGCTGGTGGGAATGTAAAGTAGTTCAACCATTCTGAATAGCAATATGGAAGTTCCTCACAAAACTAAAAATAGAAATACCATTTGACCCAGGAATTCCAATCCCAGGAATTTACCCAAAGAAAACAAGATCCCAGATTCAAAAAGACATATGTACTCTTATGTTTATTGCAGTGCTATTTACAATAGCCGAGATATGGAAGCAACCTAAAGATCCATCAGTAGATGAATGGATAAAGAAGATGTGGTACATATACACAATGGAATATTATTCAGTCATAAGAAGAAAACAAATCCTACCATTTGCAACAACATGAATGGAGCTAAAGGATATTATTCTTAGTGAAATAATCCAGGCGGAAAAAGACAAGTACCAGATGATTTCACTCATTTGCAGAGTATAACAACGAAACAAAATGAAAGAACAAAATAGCAGCAGACTCACAGACTCCAAGAAGGGACTAGCAGTTACCAAAGGGAAAGGGCATGAGAAGGGTGGCTGGGGAGGGAGGAAGAAGGGGATTAAGGGACATTAGGATTAGCACACATAATGTCGAGGGGGTCACTGGGAAGGCAGTATAGCAGAGAAGATAGATAGTGACTCTATAGCATCTTACTATGTTGATGGACAGTGACTGCAATGGGATGTTGGGGGGTACTTGATAATATGGGTGAATGTAATAAACACAATGTTGCTTATGTGAAACCTTTAAGGATTGAGTATCAATGATACTTTAATAAAAAAAAAGGCAAAAAAATTCATTCTAAAATCACAGAAATAAATCATTCATGTTATTCTGTAGATAGACAGCTGAGCTAACCAGTTGTTTAAATTCTGTTTCAACACTGGTCTGGAAATACCTACCATAATGTATTAAAGCCTAATGAGGCATCTTCCTTGACCTGCTCTCCCAGAGCAGGGAGGCACCCTTAGCAACTCCCCTCTCTGGACCTTGTGCCTGTAGGCGAGGAGAACAGACAGCCATCTTGGGTGAGATGGACAAACATTTAGAGTTAGGCTCTCAGAGGTGGTCAGTATTACATAGAGGAGATTTATTTGTCCTGTCAGTGTTTCACTTTGAGGCTGTCCTGGAAGTGACAGTTTTTCTTTATACATAATATGTGGAAAACCAAAACCTTCATTACTCCCTCAAGAGAGAAGCAGATGGAAACTATTTTTAGGGGTCAAGAAGAGGAAGGGGAATGGGGTTGGTGAAAGGAAGGGCACAATGTATAGGAGACCACTGAGAGAGGGGAGGAGGAAGAAGGGAGAACAGAGGGGAGGAACTCTCTGACACACATCCGGACCATAGGAGAAGAGTAAAGAACCTTTTGGCACCACTTCTGCCTTCTGCATGCAGGCTGAAGTGTCTGTTAAAGTCTTATTCCTGGTGGTGAACTGTTCCTTCCTGTCCTGTCCTTCCAAGTTTTAAGGGCATAGCTAAGGGGTGGTATCAACAATGTGCATGGCATGATTCCACAATAACGTGCTCTTCTGTGCATGGGAAGACAGTGTTATGTGTTCACCCTCATGGTACCTACTGTTATGCACTCACAGGGATAGTTTTACACTAATCCTGACACTCAGTTTCCTTGGGCTCCATGGTCACCAGCTGGCCCCATGTGCAGGCAGTTCATTGGGGCTTTGGAATAGCTGACTGGCCAGCAGTGGGAATGAGCCTGTGACCTCCACTTCACGGACTGAGTGCTCAGTCATCCACTAAGTCACTCAGAGCTGGGCAGTCAGGCCCCCAGGTCTTTTCATTGTGAAAAGTCATGGGGGCTACATGTCTTCACTCAACCTTCATCTTTTATCCATAACTTGGGAATGTAATTGCTCTTTCATAATGTTTTTGAGAGGATTAAAAGAGCTCTAGTACATAAAGCATTTACCTCAGTTAACTAAGTAAATAAGCACTCTGGCAACCCCAGCAACAACAGTAGTAATAATACGGTGCCTTTCTGTCAGCTGGAATCGTTAGGTGTGCCTATGTAGGTCAGGAAGAGAAATGGCTGGCCACGCTCACCATTAAGCAGTGGGCAACAGAAAAGCCTCCTTTGTATCAGTGTACGGGAATAAGTGTACAGCTGATTATGGAAAGCGTTATACAAAATTTAAAATCATCAGAGACTGCCTCTCTCCTCTTGCATCCCAGAGAATCCTGAGAATGTCTGTGTTTGGTAAATCTTTTGTCTGAGTCCCAATTTGAGTTAGAGTTTAAACCTACCTCTCCTTTTCTGGTCTAGTAAGCTATGTCGGATAAACTGTTCTTTCTTTTGAATGATATATTTGTTCATTCATGATATGATATCATATTAGGCCACTGTCAGAGACCTGAAATATAACCGTCTCCTTTTACCAGTTGGTGAATAGTCTGACCTTCATTCTTATTTTCTTTAATCATGTTAAAGTTTTCCATACTATGATACATCTCACAAGACTTTCAGGGAATGCTAAGAAACTTTGTCTGCAGAGATAAAAATAATGACAGAGTCATTTCCTTTGTTGTTCTTTGAATTCCCATATAAAGTTATCTACCTAGTATACCTTGCCTGGCCTAGCAAGTGTGCCTGCTTAATAGGGGCTGATGCTCGTGCTATTAGTCACTGTTAATTGCTCAAGAGTTGAGGTAGGCAATCGCTGACTTCATCTGTAAAAAATAATGACTGTAGTCATATTAAGGAATAAAAAGCTCTATGGCTACAAAAATTGACTGCAGATTATTTCAACAGAAGTGAGAGTATTTCCTAGTACCATGTGCTGACCTAGAACTCTACAAATGACAGAGGGCAGGCAGTTTGGGGTTTTTAAGTGTTTTATTTATCCCACAAATGGTCATTGTTTTTCCATGCTTGAGTTTTTGGGCTTTGGTTTTTTTAAAATCTTTTAATAAATATTGTCCTACTCTAAATTCTCTACTTGTTTAATTTTTAAATGGAACTTGTGTTTTGAATTGAACGTACTTTTTGGAAACTGTATTTTGAAAAAGATTTCCCTACAGGTTTTTTCCTACACTGGCATTTATTTAGATAGAAAAGTGAAAAGGAGCTACACAGACATTCTGGAGGTAAGTACCTCTGTTAGGATAACCTCAGTCTCTTGGGGAGCTTTGGCTAGAGCTGTGCTCTCTGGAGGAAGCAAGACCCTGGAAGTAGGTTTCCACAAAATCAAACATTAAGTAATTATGCTTTAACCTACACCCTGGGCATTTTACCTTCCAATTTTGCATTTTGCCAACTGCACGGAGAAATTGCTGAAATCTGTCGAGTTGTCATGACAGACAGGGCCATATGTAAAGTGCTGAAAAATTCTTTCTTAGACTCTAATTTCCTCAATGGGCAGAAACTCTGCCTTCCATTTAGCTATGGAGTGTGTATGGCCCACAGTGCTGGAGGCAGTGTTCAGGATTTATTTTCCAATGCCTCAAAGCAAAATTACAATGGGATATTGAAAATACTCTGCTTGCCTGAAGGAGCCAATGATATTTCATTTTATTTATAGGACCATATTCTTGAATCCCTGGGTACAAAATGTGTATACAGGTTGATGATATGAAAAACAAAACAAAACAAAACAAAAGAACTCTATTTTATCCTGGAAGTCAGCAGGACCCTGGAGCATAATAGTTAAGGCTCAAGTTCTGGAGCCAGACTGTCTGGGTTTGAATTCTGCTCTGTAACTTCTTAACATGTCTGCCTTGGCATTTCCATCTATAACATCACTACAATAATTGTATCTGACTTAACAGGTTGTTATGAGGATTAAATAAATTAATATGCGCACATTTAAGAGTGCTCCATATAATGGCTCACACATAGTAAGCACTATATACCTCTTAGCTGTAATTATTATAATTTAAAATTTTTTATCATTATTAAGAATCCAGGATTTTGTGCCATTAAATACATTACAGTTCTCCATAACCAAAAGTTGGTTGTAAATTCAGCAGATTTTCTCTTTTCTTCTTGTTCTTCCATTCCCTTTCTCTCTCCTGCCCTCTGTTGCTTTTCTCTTTCACTCTTCTCACTTACTGCTCTGGCTTTATAGCCACATTGTGGTATTGTTACGTTTACCATTTCCAGTTCTCCTTTATGTCGTGTTTTTAAGGCAGTGATGTGGGCAGAAGCGAGTTGTCATGGGGAGAGTGGCAGGCTGTGCTGTCCACATCTCAAGTATGGAGAGGTGAATGCTTCCGTTGTTAAGGGCTCTCCCTCCACACCTACCCCCACACTGACCCAGAGGAAGGAACATTTTTCTGAGTGGGGGTGGCTTTCGTGTTGGAAGGAGATGGTTGATGGTGTTATTTTTATTCCCCACAAATGTGGATGTTTAAAATAGTGCTTTATTCAATCGGCATAAGTGACACACAGACTATGTATAGTGGTGGAATTGGGCTTGGCAGGTGCTGAGGGCCAGATCTCACCAGAAACAAGAGTCGTGATTCTCCACTGATAGCACCCAAGGGGCCTGCTCTGAAGATGGTCAGCACAGCACCCCCATTGTGGGTTGCCTGGAAAATTCACTTGCACAGCTACTGAATTGTCTGAAATGGAGGTGCCCCAGAGCCAGTGAGCAGGGATTTTGGCTTTGTCTCCGTGGGGCATGCCAGCGGGTCACATTTCCTCCCTGAACCTCCCTCCAAGCTTCACTGTACTCGTGAAGGGTAAGTGTATTTGTTGCTCTTTCATGCCTTCTGACTCTGTGCCCTGCAGGTTTGGAATTGAGCCAGCATACAAATCATGAGGCCACAGCTCAGGCTATATTTAATTGGAGGTTTATTGTCGCCATGGTTTTAGGTTAGGGAATGTTTTTTGAGATTGATCAGATATTGTAGGGATTGGAAGTAGTGCCAATTCTGACCCTATGTGCTTTTTTCAGTGACTAAGTAAAAGTTTATTTAAAGCATTATGTTTAAAGTCTCTGAAACTTGCCCTTTTATACTTCAGTAGGATTCTAGAAGAGATCATTCCTATTTTGAAACAACAGATCTTTGTTTCACAGACAGTAACTTTGAGGAAAAAGGGATGGAATGTTTTATTCCTATGAAAAGTTTTATTACCAGAACTCATCTGATTTGAGATGAAGGAGAAAGAACTGCATAGGTTCTGAGGCAAACATAAAGCTTACCGTATGTCCAAGGGGGATTTTGAAATCTTTCTGGATTGTCCTTAATTGATTTGAAATGCCATGCAGAACTTGGATTTTTTTTTTTTAAGAACAAGGTAAAAACCCATTTAATCAGACTTGGGAATGATAGATTGCAGTCCGAAAAGTATTATTTCATATTTGTTAGACATCTCTGTAACAGATTACATAGAACATTTGGGTGATTTTATTAGAACCCACATACCTCCACCACCCTCAATCCTCTCTTCTATCTTAGAGCCACTTCTCTCTACCCTCAAGTGCGGTTTCAGTATGACTAGGGAAGAGACACTAAAAATATTTCTGGAATGACGTGACCCACTCTCACCCCATCCAGGAAAGGGACGCGGCTTCCCAAGAAACAGCATATGCTTTCCTTTCATTTCTGGGAGTCTCAGGGTCGGCCCACAGATGCTGCTCCTTCCGTGGCCGATGGCATTCGGACTCCTAACCGCACAAAGTGCCAGGCGAACAGCTGGACAGACCAGCTCAGCTACGGGAGGCTGGCCCCAGTCTCAGCCAGAGCTGCAGCCCCCCGGCCACAGACCACCTCTGGGTCCGCATCCCGGAGCCGTCCCAGCACCCTCAGGCTTGCCTGGGCCCCGCCGCAGGGGCTGAAGGACTGCTGGCTGGTGGCAGAGCTGCCTACGGCCTGGGGCCCAGTGCAGGCACGTGGGATCCTGCTTCAGGCAATTCTGCAGCCCCTCCAGGGTCAGGGAGAGACCCAGGACAGCCCCGGCGCTCACCACTGTCTCTTCCTGTCGCTGAAACTTGGGCGAGGGCTCAGAATGGAAGCCGCCACTCCTGAGCTGAATCGGAAGGCCAGACTGAGGGAGATGGGGGACGGGGTGAGAGGAGCTCAAGACAGCCAGGAGCTAACGCAGCAGCTGCAGCCACTGCCCAAGCCATCAGCCTCCTCCCAGAGAGAGGCGAAATACGTGGACATGAGCCCTTCAGCTGGAGTCCAGAGGGACAGTCCCCCGACCATGAGACGTACTCTGGAACACTGCCCCGAAGATCAGGGGGCCCCTAGGGGCCCCGTGGAGAAAGCCCAGGACAAACCCAGCCGTCGGGAGTGCGCGGCTCCGACTGTGCAGAAGAACCCCGCTTCCCTCGAACTCTCCAGCCCCCAGCTCTCGCACACGGAGGAGGGCCGCAGCTGCTCGTCTTCCTCCTGCTCCTCCTCCCCAGGGGACAAAGCAGAAGAAGGTGGCCTTCCCACAGTGGATGGTACCACCACATCCACAGGGGCTCTAGCCACCTCATCTTCGTCCTTGGGCTTTGAGAGTGAGAGTGGTGAGCACACAGCGCCCTGCCAGCCCAGGGGAGGAGGCGGAGGAGAGGATGGAGCAGAGTGCAGGGACATTATTGCCAAGTCTCAGGGCCGGAGGGACCCCCCCCAAAATGAGGAGGCTCACTACATCACCACCCACGAGATCCAGCTGAGTGAAGTGGAGCAGGATATGGATTTTGACGTGGGCCTAGCGTCCCACTGGGATTTTGAGGACAACAACGTGATCTACTCCTTCGTGGACTATGCTTCCTTTGGTGGCAGCGACGAGACCCTGGGGGACGTCACCACCCCGACTGAAGAGGACGATGACAACAGCTGCTACCTCAGCACCACCTCCAGCACCCACGCCACCCAGACACCTAGTCCCCCCAGCAGCGACCCTGCCCGTCCCAGCACAGGCAGCAGTGGTCGCAACACCAGCAGTACGGAAGTGGGCAGCTGCCCCTCTGACAGTGAGCCCACCCCCCCGCCCACTGGGCCTGGCACTGCCACCCTGAGGGAGCCTTTGCCGGAGCCCCTGCAGGCAGCTTCAGGGGCAGCCGCCGCCGCAAGCAGCTGTGGGAGTGCAGCAAGCCAGATCCTCCTATCAATCAAACCAACTTCCCAGGCTATAAATGAGCCTAGCAACGTGCGTGCAAAGCAAAACATTATTTACACTGCCAAGCATGAAGGCGACATGAGCCTCCGCATCTCTACAGCTACTAAACACAACTCAAGTTCACTAAAGCAAGACCCGGCTGCAGCTGTGGCTCAGGACCATGCAAAGAAATTCATTGCTGTCCCTGCTCGCCTGCAAACCCGGTGCGGGGCTATCCGGGCAAAGGAGCTGGTGGACTACTCAAGCGGAGCCTCCAGTGCCGTGAGCGAACTGGATGATGCAGACAAAGAGGTGCGTAACCTGACCTCCAGGGCCTTCCGGAGCCTCGCGTACCCCTATTTTGAGGCTCTGAACATCAGCTCCCGTGAGTCCTCCACGCTCTCGGAAGTTGGCTTTGGACGTTGGTCCACCTTCCTGGACTTAAAATGTGGAGGTGTTGGAGCTAGGGTGGAACAGAGCCTCCTGAAAAGCAGCGCGGCCTCTGTGGCTGCAGGTCTGAGGAAGGGTGGTGGGGCCAGAACAACCGCAGACCAGCTCTACATCCAGTCCAAGAAGTCCCAGACCAAAGCCTTGGAGTTCGTGGTCAGCAAAGTCGAGGGGGAAATCAAACATGTGGAGACACCTCTGTGTTTCCAGAAGCAGGTCCAGACTGGCTCTCGTGTAGTCACCCTTCTGGAGCCCTTGAATTTTCGCCGTGAGAGCAAAGCCAGCTCAGCCCCTGGGCCCTGCAGGACCACCAAAGTTTCCAGCAAGGGCTCCAGCTCAGTGTGCACAGATGATGGCTCAGAGACCTCGGAGGGCAGCAAGCCTACCTCCCGGGCTGATGCCCCCCAGAAGAAGTCCAAGTTTGCTTCGAGTCTGCTAAAAAATGTCATCTCCAAGAAGATGCAGCGGGAGCATGAGTTCAAAATGGAGAGGGGAGAAGTCACTGACACATCCCACCGTAATGTCCCCCGCAGCTGCAGGGAGACCGAGGGAGCCCCCGGGAATGAGAAGCAGCAGGAGAGGGTCCTGCAGAGGCAGAGTTCTCGCCACTCAGAGGCCGGCTCTGAGTACATGGTGGTCAGCGTGTCTGATGCAGGTGGGGAGGGGTCTGTAGTTGGGTCTAAATCCCCAACTTTCAAAGCCAGTGCTCCTCGGGAGAGCAGTGCGGGCTCCTGCCGAAATTTCACTGACAGACAGATGGAAGTGTGTGAAATTAAAAAGAGTGCATCGGAGACTGTCAAGGGCATCTTCCTCCGTAGTCAGAACAGTGCATTCCGGTCATGGAAGGAGAAAGAGGCTGAGAAGCAGGAAGAAAAAGTCCCCATTGGGAAGCTGAGACTCCCCAAAGGGGGTGACTGGAGGGCTGATCTCGGCGAGATCTCTGCCAGCAAGTCCACCATCATGTCTCGCCTCTTTGTCCCCAACATCCAGCAGACACCCAAGGACAAGCAGCTGGGGAAGCAGGCCACCAAGTACCCTGCTGCCCAGGCCACCTCCACAGCCGTGATCAGGCCCAAGGCTCCCGAAATCAAGATCCGACTGGGGAGCGTGCAGCAGCCAAGCTCCGACTTCAACATTGCCAAGTTGCTCACACCCAAACTGGCCAGTGGCAGCGCCTCTAACCTCTTCAAGACCATTGAGGACAATAGTAGGGCACAGCAGAAACTCTTCCGGGGAGAAAGCTTGGAGAAAGTGCCCCAGTTCCAGGTGAGAGACGTCAGAGAAAAGTCCAAGGCCCAAGGCCCCCTCCACCAGGTGAGAGATGTCAGAAAACTGATCAAAGGCTCAGGGGATAGCAGTGACAAGGGCAGTGTGACCCCGGAGCAGGGGCTAATCGGGCCCAAACCCAGGCAGCTGGCTGCTGCGGCTGCTGGGTCCAGATCCCTGTCTCCCATGGTGATCACCTGCCAGGCTGTGGTGAGCCAGAGGGAAGACAGCAGTGACAGAGAGCCGAGAGAGCACAGGGCCCAAGGAGGCAGTGGCAGCCTCCTGAACTCCTCAGCTGAAGGGACAGTCTTGGTTCACAGAGCATCTGGCAGGCTGCCTGTGGCCACCATTGCCCCTAACAAGCCTGAGCAGGGCTCATACCTGCCTGTGCTCAAGATCGTCCCCAAGGCTTCTGCTCAGAAGACCCCAGAGAAGGCGAAAGATGAGGAGGCCAAGGAGGAAGGGAAAGCCCCAAAGCCATCACGAAATGCCCTGGAGAAACTGACTGCCGCCGTGAGGTCTATGGAGGAGCTATACAGCTTCAACAAGAATGAGTGGAAGCGCAAAAGTGACCCTTTGCCGGTGATGATGGATAGCCATGTCCTGTCACTTATTGCCAGTGAGGAGAGGGAAGGGGCCAGTGCTGAGGGGGACCCCGACAGGCTGGCCAAACAGCTGGGGGAGGTGAGAGAGCAGGGTACAGGAAACAAAGGTGGCGTGGTCCTGCGAGGAGGCCCCATAGAACGTCTACAGCGAAGAAACTCCAACCCAAGTGCCGAGAGCGTGTCTGCCCGGGCGGCCGCCTTTGAGAACCTGGCCAGGGAAAGGCCCCGCTCTCTCTACATTCCCCCAGTCCACAAGGATGCAGAGAGAACCCAGCCCCTGCAGCCCTTCCCACCCAATCCCAGCAACAGGAACATGTTCACCATTAGTGCCAGCAGCACCCAGAAAACTGGGGGTGTTGCCGGCAAGTTCCCCCAAGGGCCTTCTCCAGAGAGTCCTTCAGCAGCAAAGGGCATCAAATCGCAGGGCCTCCGGTCCCTCAAGATCTCTCCGGCTACCCGGGTACCACCTGATGAGGTGGGCAACAGAAAAAATGGCAGCAATTTGGAAAAAAACAATAGTGACTGTGAGAACTACCTGACCATCCCCCTTAAAGGAAGCTCTGCAGCTGGTGAGCTTCCAGGCAGGCCTGGGGCTGGGAGGGAGGGGCCCTCAGCCTCCTCAGTGGCCACTCTTTGCAGCTTGCCCCCTCTGAGTGCCCGAAGTCAGGTCCCCAACAGCCCCAAAGGCTCTCAGGTCAGTGGAACTAGCCGGCCAGCTTGGCGAATGAAACCTGATAGCACCCGGGAGACAGTAGCTGCCCCCACAGGGCCTCAGAGCCCAGAGCGTCCCCCCACCGCCATCTACCACCAGCAGCCGCTGCCCTTCACCCTGCAGGGGGCCCAGCCCCAGGTCCTCTGCTTCTCCTCACCTGGTGTGCCTGCCCCGGCCCCTGCAGGCCCAGCTCCAGTCCCCACAGACCCCTTCCAGCAGTCACAGCCTCAGCAGACACAGCGCAAGATGCTACTGGATGTGACAACTGGCCAGTACTATCTAGTGGACACACCAGTGCAGCCCATGACACGGAGACTGTTTGACCCTGAGACAGGGCAGTATGTGGATGTGCCCATGACCTCCCAGCAGCAGGCTGTGGCCCCCATGTCCCTCCCTGTGCCTCCCTTGGCCCTGAATCCTGGGGCCTATGCACCCACCTACATGATCTATCCTGGGTTCCTGCCTACAGTGCTGTCCACCGGTGCCCTGCAGCCCACACCAATTGCTCACACACCAGGGGGTAGCGAGCTCTCTCCTATAGGAACAGAGCCCCCCAGCAAAGAGGCAGCTGCGACATTTGCAGAGGCCCCATACTTCATGGCCTCTGGTCAGTCTCCTGCCTCCTCAGCCCCAGCAGCCACATCACAGCTCTTGGGAGCCAAGGGCTTCGCCCAGCTGCACGGCAAGCCTGTCATCAGCATCACTTCGCAGCCCCTGGGGCCGAGGATCATTGCCCCGCCTTCCTTCGATGGCACCACCATGAGCTTTGTGGTGGAGCACAGATGATGAGAAGTCACCAGAAAGCAGAGTGGAGCAGCTGCTGGTGAGTGAATGTTACTTTGATAACCAGGTTTAAGGGATTAAGAGCAATCCTATTTCTTTGTGTCTGTGGCAGATTTACAGCACAGGAGGCTGTTTGTAGAAATGGGCATTTTGGAGGAATAGGAAAAAACCTCATCTAATTTATTAAGGAGCTCATTTTCTAACCAAGTTTCCTCCTCTTCCCTCTCTTCAGTCCCCTCAAGGCCAGCCTTTCTCCTTTGACCTTTTCAAATTGCCTGAGTGTTTCTCCCACCAGGGAGTAGGAGGGATGTGAGCCTGAATTCTGTCAGGATAGCCTTTGGTAAAAGTAGGCTGGAGAAAGGAATGAAAACCCAGTCTGGATTTCCTGGAAGGAGGCTCACTGTATTCATAGCAGCCCCAGTGACAGAAGTCACAAACATCCTCAGATATCACTGGGGACCCTCTTAACTTGGTTGCTTCTCAGAAGTAAGTAGAGTCAAAGACTGACATTTTCTTCTTTGAAGGTTTTCTAAAATCTGCAGGAAGTCTTCTGTCTGTCCACCATCTTCTCTGCCTTTTGGAATTTCTTATACAAAGGGACTGTATTTTTTTTTTAATTCTGGCTTTTCTGTTTTCAAAAGATCAGAATATTTTTCCTTAGGGCAAGTCCATGGTCTTTAATGTATTCACACAAACACACATGCACGCAGGCATTCTCTTTAGCTCTACAAGAAGCCCCGTAGGATGCGGCTGCTGCGTTTGATCCAGTGTGTTCAGACTGGATCCACTAGGCTCCACGCTCTGCTGCTAAGCACTGCAAGGCACTCGTTTTCTTATCTACATCCTCTCCCTTCAGAAAAGAATCATCTTCCACTTGCCCACCTCTAAAGGAAATCAGATAAAGTTAGGGTCCTAACACCTGAGTTAATCAAGCTAATCTAAACTCACAGACAGGAATCCTTGCTGTGAATACAGTACATGGAACTTGATAGGAAAAGTTTAACTTGTCTGAACTAGGACACTTCCAGTCAAATGGAAGACAGGGGGCAGCCTTCAGATAGGAGCACAAAGGTGTCAGCCCCAGGGGGACGACTATGCCTCCTCATTCTCCATTTCTCTTCAGATGAGGATGGGTTGACAAGATAAATGCTTCTAGGACTTACACTTTTTGGTAGGATCATACTGAGCGAAAAAAGGAGAGGGAGGGGAGAGAAACCTTTGCTTATATGAAAGAAATAAGCCATTTTTCTCATTTCTCTGTGCAATGAAGGAGGCTTACATTAGGAAGTAGGATCATTAAGTTAGGGTCAGCTTCTCACCAGCTGTGTACTGTTGGGCACACTAACTCTAGCACTCAGGACACTTGTGTGTCAGTATCTACTCAAAATTGGTCTGCATGTCAGATGGCATAACAGTAAAAAAAAATTGTTTTGAATCAAGGGATTGTTGCTGAGCATTACATTTACTGAACTACAAAACAGTAGGTCTCTGTTCAGAAATCACTGGGTCTTTAAGAACTCAGGAAAAAGTCTCATTTTACTTGCAATTTAGAAGTAGATGATTTGAATTCTTCCTCTCCAAAGGTTTGCAACAGGCAACATGTGACAATGATGAATACAGAAGGAAGGGGGAGGATTAAAGATAAATAATGCACCTTTGATTGATATAAAACTAAAGAAAAATTTCATTATGTATGTGGCAGAGGCTCAGAATTCAAGAATTCCTTTTACAGAAGGAAAAGGGTAGTCCCTACACAAAGCATTTTAATCTTCTGGACAGGTGGTATGTTTACCTAAGGCTGTTTTGGGGCAGCTAATCCTGCAAGGCCTTTGTGTGAGCTGTGGAGGTGCAGAGGCAAGGGGAAGGGAGGACAGGCCACAGAGGAGGAGGGCCCCAGGCATGCTTGCAGGGCTGCCCAGCAGCTGCCTTGGGCCTTTCTCCTGTAGCCTGAACCTGGAGAGATTAAGCTTGGAGTTGTTTCCATCCAACATAAATATAAATCAGAGTCTTTAGTATTCAAGATTTGAACAGCAATTTTTTTAAGTTTTCCCTTTTTGAAAGTACAACCTTTATTTTAGTCCACAGCCCTAAACATAGATGGAAAGGCAAAAGCTGGCTTTGTGATTTAAGACTAGTCAGGAATTAATGATTAGTTTTTTATGTATAGGCAAAAATCTAATTCCCCAAACTCATGTAAGCAACTAAAATCCTTCAAAACTCACCTTCCTGAAAGTTCTGGGCCACTTTCCAAAGTCAGATACATAAAAAAATGTGTAGTTCTTTCCCTTGTGTGAAAAGGTTTGTAAACATTGTTCAGCTACATCAAAAAAATATATTGTACACACTCATTCATCAACTGATGCTCATTGGATGGTCAGTGTGAGAAGCCTTAGAAGCTCGTTTCAGTCATATTTCCTCTGAAAGCCAGATTTATCTCAAAGATTGTCCTTTAGGTAGGACAGAGTTGTGTGTGCCCCTTTCAACCAGCAAGTCCGTAAGTGATTTGAACCAATCAGAACATTTTACAGAGAAGACAACTTGGGATTCAAAAGAAGTGTTTTATTTTGAGGTCCCCGGAGTGAGAGAGCCATGACCTGTGAGCTGGCTCGTAGCTGCTGGGCCACAGCCGCTGCCTGTGGGGGATTCTCCGCGCTCCTTGGTAGAGCCCTGGATGTAGGCGGAGCTACTTTTCTAAGACGGTCCTTCAGGGGACCTTAGATCTTCAAACCCTGTTCCCACGTGTTAAAATTTCAGGAGGAAATTGGGGTTGAGAGAACATGAGACCCTTTTTAAGTCCCAGTGTGTCTTTGGGGCAGAATTGGGGCTCAGAACCCAAATGCCCCGAACCAAAGTCCTTTTTCCAGCTGCCTCCTCCTTACTGCCGCTCCGTTGCATTTCCGCCCAGGCCACTCCTCTCGGTGGTCCTCCTTCCAGGAGTCTGTCCCACTAGTTCACTTGCTCTTCCTTCTCCCCTTGCCATTTGTTTAGAATTCACTTTCAGTTCTTTGCCTTTTTTTTTGTTTTTTTTTTTGGCGATTTTGTTCCTTACTGTGGTTTCTCCTCTCCCATTCCTTCAAGGTGATTTAGTTTAACACCCCACCTTGCTTCTTCCCTTCTCCTTGCTTTTGTTTTTATTGCTTCTTTTTTTGTAGTTCATTTCTGTTGCGCACTGGGTACTTTCAGGGCCGGGGCTCCCAGCCAGCCCCTCACCGGAACATGCTTTCCCGCTTTGTGCAGAGGCGGGTGGCGGGGCTGCAGGCTGCGAGCCCCACATTGCCTTTTCCAGTTTATTCCATAATTACATTCCCGAACCAGATCAGTTTTTTTTCCCCTAACTTGGTTGTGGCTTCCTCTCCCAATTATTATACATATAAGCTCCTTTCTTTTAGTATCTTTCTAATATCTCTTTGCCTTTTCTTTTCTCACTTTCTTTCTTTTTTGATTGTAGCTTTCCTCTAGCTTATTATTTTCTGCCTTTCTCCACAATTATACTGCCATTTTCTTCTCTGCCCTCTATAAAATCAATACAAAATGAAATGTGTATTAATCACTTATTATATATCAAGATTTAACATCATCATGCCATTTGATTTGTAAAATGAGTGGGTACTATTTTCATCCCTGCTTGACAAATGAAAATCTAACTTGTCCCAGATCAAAAGAAATCTGGGCCCTTTGGGTTCCGCTGCCTGTCCTCCAATAGGTGACCCCTTGTTTGCCCACTTCTCTTACTCTCTGCTTTCCAGTTCCTTATTGTGACTGTCCCTCTTCCTTTATCCAGGAAAAAAAGGAAGGGAATAAGGTAACAAAGTGACCCTGGATCTGGCTGTATCCGGTATACACTAAGTCTCCATATGTGTTTTTCTTCTGATTAAAAAAATTAACTGTCCTTAATTATTAGAACATTTTATGCCCCAAAGAGAAAACTGAGCCAGTTTCAGAACTTCTAGGGGCTGCAGCAACCAGTGGTGGGGTAACTCTGTGTGTACATGGGAAGGGGCGTGTGAGGGGTTTCCACATGAGAGTGGGAAGCCCTCTAGGCCACAGCAGGTTCCGGCATGCGAGTTGGAGGGGAGTGGTATAGTTTGTGAACTTTCAAGTCGGGCAGCCCTGGCTCAAATCCTACCACTCTTTTTATTCTGAACAAGAGACTTTCCTTTCTGGGCCTGTTTGTTCAACTGTAAAATCAGAATACCATGCAGGAGTATTGTGAAGATTGAATTATAAAACCATTACAAAGGATACAGCAAACGGTTCACAGCGTGTAGTAAGAGTTTAATCCCTTCTGGAAATTAGAACCTCATAAATGTCTCAGAACCCCTTCATCTTTCAGCGGCCCTCACCAGGGCAGAAAATCAGCCCTCCTCCTTGCACATCCCAAGGCCATGTCAGGGCCTATATCCATGATCGCTCTGCATTTTCCCCAAACTGGAGGCACTGCCCCCAGATCTGCAGTCCCCTTTGAGCTGGCTGATCCCTAGGGGAGGCCAGTTGGCTGTGAGTCAGCGTACTCTAGTATCCCCCAAGGCCTTCCAGAATGTTATACAACTCCAGGCATGGCTTGCAGGATGCATGTGGTGGTTTTCCTCTGTCTGGGCACAGGCCTGTGGAGCAAGGGAAAGCCTGCTGAGCTGTCATGTGCTCTGGTCCTGTCAGCCTGGGAAGTCATCCGGCTGAAACTGCCTGGCAACACACTGTAGCGACCTCTTATCTTTACTGACCAATTTGTGATCCTCTGATAGGCTAGACTGGTGATTTTTATTATTTTATCCTCAACAGGAATTGGAGCAACTTCATTACTTTCCAGATTTCAAGTAAAATTCCTGTTAAGTTAATGTAAGAAGAAGCACTATCCTGTGAATGAATGAAAAGGCAGTATCTGTGGATCCCTAAAAATGATCCCAGTAGATTGTATAAACAGATTTCACCTCCCTTTCCCAGACTACTCTCAGAGTCCTGAACACCTGTTCCCCACAGCGCACACATGCACACACACACACACACACACACACACACACACAAACATGCACACACTGTTCCCTCCACCTGCTTCTCACTCTGCTCAGGGAAAACAGCCTGAGTCGTTATCAGATCCTTATCAGATCTGTGTTGAAATTACTCTTCTTAGCCTTCTATTTTCTTCTCCTTCTCTTGTAATTATAGTTTCTTTTCCTGTTGCTGCTTTGTATGTCCTAAGGTATAAAACTTTAGCAGATGAGAAGTCTCCAAACCCACAACAGCCCCTTTCGTCTTGAAGGTCATTCCTCAATATAAAATACAGAATAAACTAAACAAACATGAAATATACATGTATGAAACCATAATTATTCTTATAGACTTCTTTTTCCCTAAACATTTGTTTAACACAGGTCACTTTCTAAATGGGAGGATTAAAATATCCCAGCTGTGTTCCTCTGATTGCATATAATTTAATCAGATAGCTGTTATATGATACTCCTCAGAGGTTATTTTTCACATGATAGTCTTCCTAATCCCTAATAAATACTACCTGTAGGCCACTCTATTTCTGTCTTCATAATATTATGTCAAATAGTAACTGTTTAAAAAATAATCTGTTCTTTTGGCATAATTCGAGAAGCTATACAAAACAGAGAGAGAGCAATAGAAAGAGAGGGCTAATTTTCAGTAAGCTTGGGAACATGGCAATGATTATTTTAGAATGGATTTAACTAAGCTATGGACTCTAACCAGTAGATTTCATTTTAAACAAAATGCACTATATGAAATTCCACATAATTTAGGTAGTGATTATTTGCTTTACAAAAATTCTCAGTATGAAGTTTACTCATTTAACTAGATTATTAACTCATGACAAATATCAAATGTTTCAATTTAGTTTAAATATCATGTCTGCATGATACTTAAGGAATATACCTATTACACTGTTTTATCTCTGCTCTGGATGACTTCAATAAAACTAAACATTCAACTTTAAAATCATTTTTGAGTAGTTGATTGACGTAATGCAAGTTTCAAAGTAAGTTCCATTTTCAGCACTTTTCTTTCAGTGAGTTCAGAAACACATTTGCCAAACACATTTTAAAATGTAAACTCCATCAATACTGAAATTAGCCTAATAGTTAGGTAAAATGTATTTTAACATTTTTCTTGCTTCTTTAAAAATGAGACTTGCTCTTAGGGATGACAATTATTTCTTTGCCTATGTTTGTTTATAGGAAGAAGACAAAGATGAACTCTTCTTTAACCTGAAGGTTGTATTACAACACTAAGAATTCATCTGAAAAACTTCCTCCATGTGTGTTATTCTTAGTTTTTCCTTCTTAAAACCACGTGTGTAAGTTTCTCTATTTTTCTGAACAACCCTGTTAAGACAGTTTGTGTTATTTTAGTTTTACTAAGCTGAGTGAATGGTTGCATTTTTTCCCCTGTGAAACTATTACTTTTTATACTTTAATACAGGTTATAAGCTTTCCATCTTTCCCTCCTGCACTGGTGACTAGGCAAACAATCCCTTATTTTCTTAATTCAGCCAAAACATACAACAGAATGGGATTGGCCCTGTTGTAAACCAAGCCAACAAATCAATAATTGGATCACAATGTCTTCCTAGGTTACTGGACTATATGAAGACTAACTGGCAGAGTTGTAACAAGTTTGCATTTTAAATATGATTGGTCTACAGTTTGAATCATATACCAGCCAAGCTTAGTTATTCTCTTGGTTATGTTCTACATGTTCTGTTAATTGGGTTTAGCATGATTTCAAATGTGATTGTGAAAACAATGGTTTTAACTTCTGTGCTTTGTTTAAATTTTCCCATTTGTACAATGCCATGACTATTTGTTGCCTTAAAAATAGAATGGTTTGCAATACTGAAGAGCCGGTCCTAGCCTTAAAAATGAAGTGCTGACTCTCAGAAAGGTAAAAAAGATCTATTTCCCTCTAGAAACCCAATCTTTGTTATAAGTTTATAGTTTTTTTTGTTTTTCTTTTTTGTCTTCCTCAGTGATTCCCTCTGTAGTTGCATACCCCTGTCTCTCACAGATTGTTTGAAATCTGAAGAATGACCTGTTTGGGGCAGTAGAGTAGAATGTAAAAAATTATTCAGAGACTGATGCTCTCCCGCAATCTCCATACCAATAGCAGGACCTGGGATTGCATCCCTTCTCCTTGCGGCTTTAAGAGATGTCGTGAATCCAAATCATAGTCTTTCATCACCATTCAGTAGAGCCTCATTTGGGACCCAGCTCTGAAGGCTGTTTTAGCGAGTATTCCCAGAGCATCTGGAAGAGTTAATTGAACAGATAAATATTTAGCTTGTCGTAATTAATGTGTGTTGGTATATATTCAAATGTTACATTGGAAAAATTCTTAATTCTTTAAAGTGTAACTTGAAGGTTCTTCCAGGCTTTCTTTACAAAATCTCTTCTGTTTACTTATTTGTTCAAAGATGAGGCATTCTGGTAATTTCTTTAAAAGACTTATTTTTATTTTAGTGATCATCAGTATTTGGTTTCTGCTTAAAATTGCTTCTTAAAGCCACAGAATTTTATGCTATTCATGACTGAAGGTGTGAGTATAAAACTATGAGACCGATTTCATGTGATTTATGTGATCATATTTCTTTATAGTTATGCTTCCCATCTTTAGACTCTTTAAGAAAAACAGTTGGATTTCACTTACAGGGCCTTCCTTAAAGGGATCTTTACAAAGAAGTTCTGTTGGATTAAAGGGAGAAGTTTGAGGCAGGAATAGTCAGCTCTGGTCACAATTCAATCAGTCATTGGGTTGATGAGCTGTGAAATGAAGTGATAGCCTCAATGAGACATGAAACATGAGAACAAAACAGCCTCTGTATATAGAAAAGATGCCTTTGTACCACACCAGGGCATGTAGTCTTTGTCATAGAGGTCGTCTTACCCAGGAGCATCAACAGATTCACCCCAGAACTCAGTTAATTTTCCACCACTGGGAAACTTATGCAGCACCTGTGCTTCCTCATTTTCAATAGAGACTGGCTGGGTATGAGGTCTCCTAATACTGAAACAACAAAGTAGAATCAGCTACAAAGATCTCAAACCTATAATACTCAAAGCAGCACTGTGAGTTCTCAAGTATGTGAACACATCTAGTTAAACTTGTATAGGATTTGGATGGAGAGCACCAGAATTGTTGTTGTTGACTGCTTTAAAACCACATGTGATTTTTAGAAAAACCCAGTGGTCATGTTGAGTAGTCAACTGCTTGCCAGGTCTTCAAAAAGGGATGCACCTCCTTCCCTAAAAAAAACATAGTAGAGTTCTTACCTACCAAGGGCCTGGAGCCCTCATATGCGATTTGTCATTATTTATCTCCAGCAGATCTGAGCCTTAAATTCTCACTTTCAGGTAAACTAGAACAGAAACTAGATAAAAGGAGGACTTTTCACTTGGTTCTATCAGATAGGCCACATTCTCTGAGAAGCTGTCAAGGATGTAGTAAATGTCCAAGTGGTTAAAAATGTAACTTTAAAGTAACATTCTATGAATAACACATCTATTGATAATTCTATGGTTCTCTATTTCATCAAACCATAAAAATACAAACCAAAGCTGCTAGGCCACTTACTACCTCAAGTGATAGGGAGGAACACTTATAAAGACATGAGGTAAATCTAAATCCTCATTTTCATCATTTTATCATTTAAGTTGCATTGGTATTTGAAAGAAGTGGTTGTGCCCTTCCTTTTCCACCAAAGTTAAGTGAAATAAAAAAAGAGTCTATGAAATCTTCTGACCCATAAAACTCTTACCCTAACAATGTTCCTTTAGCTACTGAATTAGCCTTTTCTGTTTTATGTACACAAAACCATTGAAAAAGCATATAGCATTTCCTAAATAGTGCTCAGGCTTGAATCTAATCAGAATTGCTGAGTCTGGCTTTTGCCATTTCCTTTCAGGATCACATGTGTGACTATTTTTCCAGAGGAACTACAGGGCATTGTGAATAGAAATCTGGATCCATTTCCTCTTTTTCCCTGTTGGTTAATTGGTCAGGTTGAAATATGCTCCGTTTGAATTGTTTCTGGAAGACTGAATGCACATGTAACCAGTATGCAAATTTAACTCACCAGAATGTATTTTCTTTAAAGCACTCACTAAAATTGCCCTCAGGATTAAATAAAGCCCAGACATGCAGTTAGTATAGGCTTTCTGTATGTCTATGTATGTTTCTATATGTCTGTACATTTATGGCTCTCTCTATATCAATAAGTAAATAAGCTAAAAACAAATTATACTTGGTAAAACAAATTACAAATTGTCTTTATAATAAATCTCAAATGTTATAACACATTTCAAATTTATCCTTACATAAAAGGAAATATCTAGTGATATAAATTTCTTTTTTCCTAGTTTCACACATGATTTTATCATCCTTGCCTTTTAAGGAGATTTAATGCATTTTAATTATTTTCATACTTCATAGAAATGAAAGTCTGTGTTTGCTACAAATTAAATGCTCATGCTACCTGAAATAATACTTTGGACTGCAGGACAGTACTGATTCTTAAGTAGATTGACTATAATCTCATGATAAATATATAAATATATATATGCATGAGAAAACACATTCAATAATAGTCTCTGTGTTTAAAACTATCATGGTATACATTTTCCTATCTGGTGCTTAAGGAGTTTCATTCTACAGTTTACAAGGTGTAGGTTTGCACCCCAAATTCTCAGGGTATGCTATTTTACCCTAATACTTGAAAGAAAAAGGTGCCCTGTATTTTATCAGTACTGTTGAGGGAAAAATATGTGTAGGTTTGTTTTAGAAAACTATTTATAAAAATCAAATTCATTAATATGTTAGGTTTTTATGTAATTTCTAAGGAGATATACATACAGATATGATGTATATTTCCAGGAGACTCTTTCTACATTCTTAACTAACTTCTGGGTCCTAAGTAGACCTCACAGGTGCATAAAATCAATAACAAAGCATGTAGCATTTGCTAAATCATACACTGAGCTTGAATCTAATCAGAATTCAGACTCTGGTCCTCTGGGGAAAAAAGTATGTCCATCTGCGGCATGTATGATTACAAGGCCCAGGGGGGGATTCTGAAAGTCAGACTCATTTGTATGCCCCATGTCTCAGAAGAGAACTAAACATTCACAGTGGTATTTGTAAGCCGTTAACATTCTTGTTTGATGTTGCAACTAGAGCACGTTATTAGATTTATTCCTATTCATAATGGTGCAGAATAAAACACACACACAATACATCTCATTTGATTTCTTTTTTTAAGTTTCATAATTGCTTTTTACAAGCTAATGTTACTGGCAAAAAGTCCTTTCCAGGGCTCCCTGAAATGATCTATCATACCTGTATCCATTTCTAGCGGGTGGTCCTTTCCTTTTCTCACCCTGAAGATGTAGGCTTCTATATTTACATTTAAATCATATTATTGTACAGTAAGGACAGTAATGGTTGTAAAGAATGTGAAGACTGAGGAAGTTATGTCCCAAACAGAGGAGAGTAAATTGTGTGGTGAATGGAGAAAGATGCCGGATAATGCTGAATTATAGCCTTGACTGTGAAAAAGCCAGTGATAAATGGAAAGAACATGGAATTTTAAACTGGTCTCAAGATAGAAATCTTGGTGGAAAAGTTCCTACCTGAGGTCTGATATGATTCCATATAAAGTTCAGTGAGCTGGGCCAAAGGGACTGTGAAGCCAGCTCAACAGCTCTGAGAGTTACGTGATTAGGGTGTTGCATATGGAGAAAACTACTTAGACAAGGATTCTGTGAGACTAGCCTACTTACCTTCGATTGCTAGCATTTGTAAGTGATTGTGCAATCTTGTGTAATGGTCTTTTATTTTGACTGTTTTGAAAAAATATATATTTTGTTGTTTTTCCAGTAAAAGTAAATGCAAAGAGAAAACATGCATTGTTTGTCTTTTTTTAACTCAAAAAACAAACTTTGGACATTTTAATTTTCTTCTGTGTTCTAAATTAAAGCCCTTATTTAACTAAAATACTCTATAATAATGTTTCACATCCAGGTTGTATTTGTTTCCTATTGCTGTGGTCTTGGTGGCTTAAGACAACACAGATTTATTATCTTACAGTTCTGGAGGTCAGAAGTCTGGTATGGGTCTTTCCCTGTACCCAGAAGACTTCATCTGACCAACAGAAGGACTCTAACTGCAGCATCAGCACCATTGCATAGCATTATGAGGAGCACCTGCCAAGGTGTGTGAGGCTCATTGACACCGAAGAGCAACCCGGACAGCAAGTTCCCTGCCGGGCTACACTGAGGCCCAGGAGAGTAACTGTGGTTATCTCCTTCAAACCTGAACATCAGAGGCACAAGTTTTGGACCTACTGCACAGTGAGGATCAAGGCTGGGGCCCAAGTCAACTGAAGTCACTATAAACCTTAAGACTAAAGCCCCAGAAAGACTTGAAGTGACCTTCCACAGAGAGGGAGCTCTAGAGGATTGCTCACTTATGTCTAGGGGTTGAGAGCAATAGGATAACAAGGAAAGGTAAGGACAGTTCCAGGCCTTATAATTTCCTCAGTCACCTCTGGCTTCCAGCTGTCATTTCCAGTGAATTCTCAAATTCCATTCTCCAATTTGATTCCACTGTTCATTGCATTACTTTGCATTGTACTACTCCAGCAGACTTCATCTGATCCTGAGTATTCTAGACTCAAGACTGTATGTGTGGCAGGATTTTCCTGAAGGTTTAGAGTATACAGGATAGAGATTAGCAGGTGCTCCAACAACACATGGCAGCCAGCTGCATCGGCAACTACCTTAAATCTGAACCATTGACATCCTTGTTCTCAAATAGCTTTGTGCCATCTCTGGCACTAGATAATTTCACTGGCTGCTGAGTTCATTTGTGCTTCAGCCACTCTCTCTATTGCTAGAGCCCTCCCCTTCCCTTTGTCTACTGCTTCCTCTGCTCCTTAGCTTGCTAGCTCAGAATGCTCTAATTTCCTGTTCTCTCTTACATAGAGCACAGCAACTACCTAATGAAGCCTTACTAATGCAGACATACTACACTATGTCCAGAAGACCTCATCTTCATAATCAACCATGCCCATTGTTCCTATTTACGTATTGTTGAGTAAGATTCCACCCCAAAACTGGGTGGCTGAAAAGCTACAAAAATTATCTGTTTAACTCATGCAACTGTAATTTGGGCAGGGGTTGTCATGGAAGGTTAGGCTTTGCTTCAAATGGCAGCTTGACAAGGGCCTGGATAATCTACTTCCAAGACAGCTCACTCATATGATGCGAAAGCTGATGCTAGTAGTCAGCTGGGAGTTCAGCTGGGGCCAGCCAGGGGCCTCAGTTTCACTTCATCTGGGCTTCTCCACTGCCTGCTTGGGCTTCCTCAGAGCATGGTGGCCTGGTTCCAGTAATGAGTATCCCAGGAGGCAGGAAGCAGGTGCTGCTGCCAGTTCCTTAAGGCATCAGCTCACACACGGTCACTTTCACTGTACTCTGCTCAACAAGCAAACACAAAACCCAGATTCAGGGGCAGGAACACAGACCCCACCTCCCAGCAAGAAGAATGTTTGGGGATATGTTTTAAAATCACCATCCTCATTAAGGAATATTTTTAACAGATACATTTTTAAAAAGGAATTATAAAGTCAGTCCTGAGATTAGTGTAGGCTCAGTCAAGATTCTGAAAAAATCCAGAATGAGAGAAGTCTACACAAGGTTTGCTGAGCATGCTTTTTTTGGGTATTGGGCCTATGTCAAAGTCTCATAGGGCAAAAATCACTGTTGTATTTAGAGTGTGGAGGGCATCAATGTTCTTTAGCAATGACTGCCTACTATGTGCCAGGTGCTCTGACTCATGCAGAGGTTAGGAGTTCAGAAAGTCTTCAGATATGGTGAGAATGCCTGATACGCTGATGAAACTGTCCAGTCTAAGCCTTGTCAAAGGCATTGAGATTGAAAGAGGAAACTGGCTAACAGCCACAGAGGAGACATCCATGCCAGCGACCCAGCATGCGGCAGGCAGGGAGCAAAGAGGACTAGGAGTGAAGAGTACCGGGAAATCCAGGGCAACAGCAAGAGACTGAAAGTGCAGAGGCTGTTCAGCTGTGCAGGAGGCAGGGGGGCTACCACAGGGCAATAGGGGTCGGGGGGTGGGTAGCATAGGGAGAAGCAGCAGGGCCAAAGGCCTTTGTCAGGAAATTTACCCAGCAGAAGTGCTGTGAAAAGATTGTCTCAAAAGACATAGCAAAAGTCAATATTTCTTTCTGCCCCTTGAAACTATAACCTGATCAACAGACTGTTCCTTAAGTGTAGTCTCTGAAGACTTGAGTGCTACTGGATAGAGGTAAGAACAGGTTTTATTATATACATATGCATATATATTCACAAACTCACACTATAGTATTGCAGAATAACATTAATATATTATATATGCTATTATGTGAGAATTATAAAGAGATAATATATATAGTACACCCCTAGCCTGTGGTTAGAACTCGAGAAATACTCTCTACAGTAATATACTTTCCATTACAGCATTTGTGCTTCTGAAAAATTCAAATTCACTGCTACACAGGTTGCTTACAATTACTCAAACCCATTAACTGGGATATCTTCTATCTATAAAAATAGTTCTTGCTCTTTGGAAGAAATTTAGAGAAATGTTAAAATATTCTAAAAGTTTGGAAAATGCTTTATCACTCAAAGGGGTCCACTACACAAACTGCCTCTAAAAAGAAATACTTGTAAGTGTATCTGATACTTTACATGCTATTTTGTAGTCTACTTTGCTGCCTCATAAAATTATAAACCTACATCCTTATCTCCAATATTCTTAGAGGAATGGTTTTTAACAGCTGTATCTTATTTCATCATATGGCTGTATCATGTAGTTAATAAATCTCATATTGTTACTATTTAGTTTTTATAGTTTGGAGCTATGAAAATAATGCTGCAATGAACATCTTTGAACACAAATCTTCCCAAACATCTCTGATTGTTTCCTTGAGATAACATCCTCTGAGGACAATTACTAAATAAAAGGACATGAATATGTTTAAAATTTTTGACCCACAGGACTTTGAGATGTCTCCCTACCTCCCATATCCCAACTCTTCCACCCTCAAACATGCAAACACCTCATTTAGAGACTTCATATTTTAGTGTTTCTTTCTCTGGAGCAAGGCTCTCAAAGTGTGGCTCCCATCCCAACAGCATGGGCTTCACCTAAGAAATGTCACCTATGATATGTCACCTGTTTTCAGTGCAAATCCTTAGTGCACCTCAGGCCAGTTGGATCTGAAAAGGAGGAGAGGGGGAGCAATTTAATTCTCCAGAGGGTTCTGAGGCACACAGTTCTGAAAACCACTGCTCTGGACCACAGTGCACGGCAGCCACAGGCTGGCCACTTGGAGGAAAGCAAGAAGGTTGATGCTGCTGAGCGGAAAACTCTGCTCCTGCTCTATCATGTTAGCATACCAGTCCCCAGTGAGACAGTCCCTTTCTGATCCTCACTTTCCACAATGATTTTTTAGTGGAGAAAATAAATTCCTGTTTCAGGATTTTTTAATGA